CCCACCCCACCCCATCCCACTAATTCGTTGGGTCGGGACGGGACGGGACGGGACGGGACGGGACGGGGCGGGGTGGGTTTTTTTGCCATCACTAGATGACAGCTCGTACTAGCTAGCCAGCCAGCCATCTTGTTCATCTGGGTTTTGATTACAGTTTAAAATGAATTATCAATTGAGATAAAGGGAAGACTAGAGGACTAATGACTAAATAATCATAGAAAAACATCTTGGAATTTGGTCTCATTAATTGTGTGTTTGTGTTTTTGTATGCTAATCTTCTCTTCTGGACTTGAAATAAGTTATTTTTGGGAATCCAATGAATTTCTTATGTTTTGTTTTATAGTATTGCTAGTCTCCATGGGAGTGTCAATGTCTAGATACATTATTTTGATTTTGATTTTGTTTTTGTTTTTGCTACTCTCTCGCGTACATGCAAAACCTTTAGTTTGATCCATATTGAATGAACATACTTTAGCCGTCACAAGATGCATATTTTAGTTGTCAACCAAACGTCGCTTTCATTAATGATATAGTTCGTGTTTGGCTCCCATTAAATTTTAATTTATTTTTTTCTCTTCTCTTATCAATCATACAACCTCTCAATAAAATAATATTACACATAAATCCAAATATTCTCTTTACTTTTTAATCACACATTTTTCACAAAATATTATTCCAAAATCATTTTTTTCAAATAATGGAGCTCAAACAGGGTATAATCTTTATATTGCAATATTTATGTGACTCTGATATTCATCTTGTGCTACAGTGACTGGGGCGGTGACCGATCCAAAAACAGGGGACTAAGGTGGCTTCATCTCGACCCTTTCTGTTTAGCATTTTTGCAAATATTTTGGCTATCAATCAACTGTCACTTCCCATTTAAATTGCTATGTGACCATACATGAACAATGCTATGTGTACAATCATTAAGAGATTGTAAAATTTACAACCTCTCACACTAGCGGGCCCTACACTAGTGTGAGAGGTTGTAAATTTTACAATCCCTCAATGATTGTACAAATGGATTTTTCCGACCATACATAGTTCTAACCAATTCCATAAATATTCTACATTATTAATTGATTCAACGTCCTCAACGTCCTCAACTAAATTCACTGTCATAATAATACGCATATTTTTGCCTCAACCAAACATTGCTTCCCATATTACTACGAAATCTACTTGTCCTTGGCCAAACATTACTTTCCATTAATAACGACAACTATAATCACTACGAAATCTACTTGTCCGATATTCACTTTGTCAAAATGCACATATTTTAGTTGTCAACAAAATATCGCTTTTCATTAATACTGTTGTCTACGTTACAATGAAACATAGCTATATTATATTTACCTTCTCACAAAACTACACAAAATTTAAATTGAGAACTTGGAAATATATATATTGAAATTGATGTTGTAAATTATTTTCTATCACTCAATTTAACTTAGCCCATGTTTCGTATAGATTGAAATAAGATTTTTCGTAAATTTTGATAAAAGTTATGGGTCTCATGAAATATGTAGTTAAAATTAATTGTTGATTTTGATTTGAAATTTAAATTAAATTTTAATCTATATCAAACAGGGACTTAACGACGAATCTATTAAAAACTTAATTGAATTAAATCTTTTGCATCTAAAGTGGGTTTGGAATGAGGAAAAAATGATGCATATTAATTATGCGACGAGGAAAAAGTGAAATATAAGGACAGAAATTAAACTCAATAAAATATTATTATTGACAACTAATCACTTACTTATTCCATAAATATTTCAATTAATTTTAATTTCACGTTGAGAAGCCGCATAATTGGTAAGGAGGATTATCACACACCAGACCGACTCATGAGATGACTGTACAGTTTCATGTGCGGTTCGTGCAGTAAAAATTGTTGCTGTAAAATAATCATCCTTGTTTTTTTTCTTTTTAACCCCAAAAAAAGGAGTCTCCAACTAACTTTTTAACCACGCGCATATCTGACGCGTGCAAAGGAAGAAAACGAAAATAGTAGAGATTGCACAACACGCGTTAAAAAAATAGCTTGAGCAGACACCTTCTCGACAGTAGGAAAAGAACCGTACAAAAGTGAGTTATAAATGGCGGCGAATCCTAGGTTGCCCACCCACGATGTTCCTAGCTGTGAAAAGTAATTTTTAAATTCTCTATAATTCAAAATGATTACTTTAAAATAGGTTAAAATTTCTCACCCCACTTGCCACTCTAATTGACCAAAACGCCCCTCAAATCTTGCAAAAGAGGATGACAAATTTTATTTATTTATTTCAATTATTACGTTCTTATCAATTATACGTAATAAATATATCTTTTTTTGTGTATTGTGTATCAGAGTATATAGAGTTGTAAGATACGACAAATTTTAATATTGTCGTAAAATTTTCAATTCAGCATCTTGATTAGTCGGTGAGTATCAAATTATCTAATTATGCGTATTAAATAAAACTTTGATTGTGTATTAGAGTACTATAGTTGTTACAATACTCTATAGACTTTAATTTGTCGTGAATTTCCAGTTCAGCATCTTGAATACTTCATTAAATAATGAATTATCCCGTTCTATGTATTAAATACAATGTTGATGACGTGTCAGGTGGATAGAGTTGTTGTATAACATTAAAAACTTAAAAATTGACGTGAATTTTCCAATTCAACATGTTCAATACGTCATTATTAGTTATGTGAGTGTTGTAGAGCATTGTACATGACAATTGATCACATTCGATGTGCCTTTAATGTTTAGTCACATAGAAGGCTCAATCCTATAATTATAACATAAAAAATACGAGTGTATAATTTTAGTCGAAAGTATAGAATCAAAAAGTATGTGCAATGTAGTCTATGATAGAGGAGTATAATTCTAGTCCAATTATTGAATTTTGATTCAATTAATTTTTTATAATTTAAATGTTAAATTTAAAGTTAAATTAATTTAATATGAGTTCACTGTTCACATAGTAGTTATTTACAAGTGGTAATTACATAAAACCATGTGTTAACTTTGACATTTTTAAAAATCAGGTTCTTGGCTTTGTTTAATCAAAAATCAGGTTTAAATTTTACAATTAATATTAATAATAATATTTTAAATTAAATTAATGTATATACCCACCATACTACCTACCCACCAAATTTATTTTAATTATAAAACCCAATTCAAACCCTAATTCATTTCATTTCTCTCCCCTCTCTCCCCTCTCTCACCGACGCCGCCGCCGCCCCCTCCCCCTCCCCCTCCAGCAGCGACGTTGCTGCTGTGTCGAAGCGACTCTGCTGCCGACGCGTCACAGGCAGCAGTCACTGCCATTGCCAGTCAGCAACGTCGCTGCGCGTCACAGGCAACGTTACTGCGTTGCATTTCTTGGGTTTTAGCAGATCTTGTTATGATTTTGGCAGATCTTGGGTTTTTGATTTGTTGTGATTTTGAGTTTTTCTTCATTCTCAGATTTGGTTGTTAGTGATTAGTACATTGTGATGGTTTTTTGAAAATGAAAATGGTAAGGTGGTGGTCGGGCTAGTGGTGGTTGTGGCGTAGTATAGATAGAAATAGAGATGGTTGTCGAGGTGTTGGAGGCTGCGTGGTTGTCGTAGTGGTGGTGCAGCGATTTTTTGGTTGAGATCTGTGACCAAGTAGTTGGTGGTGTTTCGGGATTGGGTGACGGGGTGTTTGGGTGTATGTGATCAACTATATTGATCTGTGACCAAGTTTCTATGGCGTAGTGAGATTGTAGGACATGTGTTTGGGTGTATGTGACCAACTATATAGTTTTCTGTGGTTAACTATTTAACTGTGACTTGTGACCTTAAAATTTGTTAATCCGTGACTCAAAATATAATCTGTGACCAACAAATTTGGAAATCTGTGATCAACACATTTTCTTAATTTGTGATCAATTAAAAATCTGTGACCTATTAATTTTTTCAATTATGACCTTAAAATAATCTATGACCAATTAATTTGATAAATTGTGACAGAAAATTAAATTTTTAACTATATCTGTGACCTATAAATCGGAGTAGTTATCGGAATTAAGCGGCGGTCAATGGTCACTGAAAAATAGTCGTCGAAATTAAGCGTGATCGGAGAACTGTCGACGATCATCGGAGTAGTCACCAGAGCAGTGGTGGGGTGGGGTGGGACAATTATATAAATATTATATGACAGTTAAATATTTAATTTAATAGATTAATTGTAAAATATAATTAATTAATTCATGAAAAAATCTAAGTTTTGTAAATTTAAATTTTGAATTTTTGATTTCATGAAAAATAATCCCTCAACTAAGAATTTTTCCCTATTTGCAATAATCAACATTTTTACCGATAGTATTAACCGAGCCGGGCATCCTGGGCCTTACCGTCACGTGACTGGCCACGCGTTCTTCTAGGCAGAAAATCATGCAGGTAGCACCATTTGACATACGCTCATTGGACCAAACTCAGAAGTAGGGCCCACAAAAGCTACGTGTCCCTACCTCACATATGCGGCGAGCAGTGTTGTCGGCAGCGGGTGCCGGAATCATTTAGTGTCCAACTTTCCGGTGCCGGCGAATCGATAACAGATATCTTAGAATCTAATTCGAGATTTATATGAATATTAATAGTAAAACAGAGTTTCTTAAATTTAATTAAATTAATAAATAATAAATTGAGTGCTGGTGTTTTACCAAATTTGGAGATCCTATAAAACCGCAATTTCAGTGTTAGTCGTCAGTCTCCACTGCAAATTGAATACATCGCCAGTGCCATTCTCTCTGGTTGCAAATCCCACTCATTTTCTTACCTTTTCTTTTTTCTGCTATTGATTCACTTACCTTCTTTAAACCAGCAAATCCCTTTTAAGTATCGCACTTCAAGCATCTTTTGAATCCCATTTTCTCTCACTAGAATCCCATCTTTTAAGTTTGCTATTTTTTATCAGATGCGTAAAAATCTTGACAGCCATTAGTGAAACCTTTAAATCGTTGATTGTAACAATGGATTTATGGCCTGTGAAATACTCCGAGATTCGACATGTCACCGAGAAACTCGTTAAACCCTTACATCAAAAGCCCGAAAACACCCATGAAGAACAGAATTTTAATGGTCCCAGAATCATTCGAATATCGGTGACTGATCCTTATGCAACAGATTCCTCCAGTGATGAAGAGGACGAGCTTTTCCGGCAACGGCGAGTCAAGAAGTACGTCAATGAAATCAAAATAGAAACAGCTAGTAAAAGCCAGGCCAACGCCGTAATTACTAGCAGTACTAGTTGGAAGAAGAGTCTTCAACCCAAGCAGAAGCCGATGAAGGTGAAGGTGAAGGTGAAGGCGGCGGCTAGTGGTGGCGTCAGGAAGTTCCGGGGTGTTCGGCAGCGGCCATGGGGCAAATGGGCGGCGGAAATCAGAGATCCGTCCCAAAAAGTCAGGCTTTGGTTGGGCACCTATGATACGGCGGAGGAAGCTGCAATGGTATATGATAACGCCGCCATTAAACTCCGTGGACCGGATGCTTTGACTAATTTCAGCCATCCTCCGGCAAAGGAGAAGCCGGAAATTAATGTAACGTCAGTTTCTGGTTACGAGTCCGGATATGAGACGCGTAATCTTTGTTCTCCGACTTCTGTTCTCCAGTCCGGAAGTAGTCAACAGTCATTTGAAAACCGGTCCGTTCAAGACATGTGCATACTGGCTGAACCTTGTTCATCGGCTGATGGACCGGTCTCTGAAACCGGGTCGGGTAATGACCCGGTTCAGGAAGTTGAAGAGTGCAAAGGGGACTCTAGTGGGGTGCCAAATTATTCAAATGACTATTTACCAATGGATATTCCATTCTTAGAAGATTTCTTCAATTTCAAATCTCAAGAACCGACATTATTTGATGAATATCCACCAGCATTTGCGAATGATTCCGATGAATTTGAGATGTCATTTGATGACTTTCCAGCTCTGGATCAGAGCACTCTAATGGAAAATTTCGGAGAATTTAATGACTCGTTTGAAGATCTTGCCCGTCTAGGACAAGAAGTTGATAACTATTTTCTTGATGAAATGATCTCAATATGATAAAAATCGAGTTCTATATCCAATTTTGTTAGGGTTCAATTTTCTTTAAATAATGTTAACTGTATTAGGGATCTTTATTTATGTGTTCTCCATTAAAGTCAATGGAGACCGAGTGAAATTTTGTTTAGTTTCTATCTCTATATATAAAATTTGGCACTTTCAAGAATGTAGTGTTCCTTTTGACTGATTGTGTATTTAATGGAGGTTTTTATTTTTTTTTAAATTATGACATCACCTTTTTCAATTTGGTAGATATTTTTCAGTTTATAAACATGCAACTACTTCTACGTGCTATTTTAACCTTTTGCCAATATATTTGATTTTCACTATAACGCATTGGTGGTATTATATTATTTAAACCGGGTGTTATTCCACATCCATCGAACATGATCAAAACTTGTTGAAATTGATCAAAAATTTTCGGTCCAAAGTGTAATGTGAACGAATAAATTATTCATATAATTGTTCGATAACGAAAAGAAACAATCACTTGACACAAATCAGATATTGCATCATAATAGAAAAATCTCATAAAGTTTATTATGTAAAGAAGTTCAAGATTTCACTTGCAAATGCTGGTGGATATTCATTGCAAACCCATTCATGAATGGATAAATCTATATTGTGGATGGCAGAAAAATGTTGGTTGAAAAGATAAATTATTTTTTAAACTGTCTAATAACAACAATGTGACATATTGTAAATAACATTGTACACCAAACGTGATTGAGTTTGAAATTAAGAGTTTATAAAATCTTGAATTTTCTTCATTTTTAAAGATTCGGTACAACATTGTATTTGAACATTAAATTTTTGTACGTGATGCCGAAAGCAAATCCTAAGAAAATCAATAATTCAATGCCTTATGGACTGTGGTATTTAAGGTTGAGATGGTACAAAGAATGGCTAACATTAATTAATTTGGACATAACATTATTTTGTTTGCTGTCTGCATTTATCCTGAAATACAGACTTGCACGGTATAATAGATGCAATACCTCTAGGTTTAAAAATCTAGTGGGATACTGACTAAATGTATAGTATCAAGTTAAAATTTGGGGGACCACAAACGAGTTCTGAATTGAATGATAATCACTAGTAATGACAAATTAATCGTATGATAGTGAATTTGTTATGGTCATATTTGAAATTATTTTAATTGCAAAGAGCAACATATTGTACTAGAGTGATGCACAAGTTATTTAAATTATTTAGATAAAATTGCATAATTTGTCTCCGTTTATTAATTGAGTATTGGTCCTTCACTTTTTATGTTAGTTGCATGATTTGTCTTGCATGACAGGAATCGTCAATTGTTTTGTCAAATTCTCATATGATCCAAACATCTAGTATTTTGAAACTAGATTTTGCTTCCTAATCCTCACGTGATTCTGACATGTCCAATAGTATGATGTCTCAAATTTGAAAGTGAGACGTGTTTTCATAAAAACCACGTGACTAATTACTGAAAATTTAAAGAGTTTGCCTAGTCGACTACTTTGTAATGTTAATAACAATTTGAGAACCAACTTGGGTTTTGGAAATATTGTATGCTAAGATATTGAAGACCAACTTGCTCTTTGTAAATATTTGGGGTTGGGTAACAATAATGCAATCTTTTGGTAAAGAACTTGATTTTTTCTTTTATAGCATAAATACTATATAAACCATGGAGTAAAATTCTTCTGTAACGAGGGGGACACTGGCGCAAGGGCTGACTTGCATTTCACTCCAACAAATGCATGTGTATTTAGTGGCTTGGCTCGGCCCTCCTTCGAGCACGAGCCTAGCTCAAGCTCGAGCTCAGCTCAGGTCGTGCTCAAGGGATGAGTCGGCTCATGAGCCGAACCATCCCATGAGCTCGAGTTTATTTTTATTTCACATTTTTGTTCACATCTTTTACAAGGCTTGTGGGCATGGCTCATGAGCCGTTCACGAGCTCGACGAGCCAAGTCGAGCCGTCGCATGAACCCCCGGATCGCCTCGGGTTCATCCCGAAATCAGCCCGAGCCGTCCCTGGGCCAAATTTTGATGAGTCGAGCCGACGAGCTACTCGATCATTTTGCATCCCTATGTGCATCAGAGATACGCAATCACGACAACAACCTTAATTATGCCTTAAATGAGATTATAATACTATAGCTGTTGAAAAGGCCACAGAGAAGCTCAAATCAGTTAAACCCAATTATTATGTCTGAAATATTTTGCATGGTTGATTAACATTCTTTTAGAATAGAAAGGATTGACCGTTCATTGCATAACAAAATTGGTCTCTTTTTAATAATTATAATGGATTTGCATAAGATTTAGATATATTGGAAACCAGTCCATATTGCATATTAATTATTTTTCAAGAACGGAAATGGAAGGAAAGGAATTAATTATGCACAGTAGAGTGCAAGGGCATGTTTGTTACGAAAAATTAGATAGCGCTAAATGATATTATGGAGAAAAAAAACTTGAAATCTAGTTTAATAAATTGTTCATTCATCTCTAATTTTGTGTACCAAAAAGAGTCCCTATACCTTCAATAATTAAGGGCATGTTTGATGTGAATTCTTTTTTAATAGATTTTGAAAAATAGTATGCCCACGTTTGGCCTCCATTAAATTATAATTAATTTTTCTTTCTCTTTTTATCAACCATACGTTCTCCAATAAAGTAATATTATATGTACGTAAATCCAAATTTTTTTCCTTTTTTTTAACCACACATTATCCAAAAAATTACTATCCAGTTTATTATAATGCAGAATAATGAGGGCAAAACAAGTGCTATATTTGTTGAAGAATGTGTGATTAAAAAGTAAAGAACGTATATTTTTTAATAATTGATTCTATAAAAAAATGAATTTTTTGGAGGATATGTGAGTAAAAAGTAGGAAAAATTTAAGAATCCACTTGGAAAACTATTTTATTGGGAGAATGTGTAGTAGAAAATGAGTTTTTAAAAAATTTGTTTTAAAAAAGGCAACTTACATGATACTCCTAAAATGGTCTCTTGAAAAATCATATAAAAAGTATTTTTGAAGTTAAAAATACTATGTAAACTTGTGTCATTTTTTTTAATTAAAAAGTGATATATAAATGTTACTTTTACTTTTATTAAAAAGTGACATTGTCTTTAATTAAAAGTGATGTATGTCACTTTCTCTATCATGAAAATTTAATTCCCATTTAACACAATATAAAATAAATTAACATCTAAAAGAAATTTTTATAAGCAAATTGATAGCCTAGCCAAAGATGTATTGTTCTATTAGAAATTGATTATGTGTGACATTTTAAATAAAAACTGACACAACATGTTATGTTACTTTTTTTATGAAATGGTCACAAAATGTAAATATCAAAAAAAAAAAAAAAAAAATTATTAACACCATCACTATTAATTAGAACATGTCAGTCATACAAATTATCTATCATCGAACATTTTCAATGTCATTTACAAGTGTATCCTTGTCTCACCAAATACATCTTCATCTCTATCTCATAAATATATCACATATGCCTTTCATTTCTCTTTCTGTGGCATTAAATATGGAAACAATTCAATAAAGTGACAAAAATTTTAAAAAACTGACAAACTCTCCAAAAAGTGACAAATTATATTTAACACTAATAAAAACCTTAGAAGAAATCCAAAAGATGGTTGGTTTTCTTTTACTTGTTGTCTTTTTGTGATTAAATTTCACTAAAATTTGAAAGTTCTTAAATAATGCGACAAAAATTAAAAAAGGTGATAAATATTCAAAAAAGTGATAACAACTCAAAAAGTGATAATGATTTTTGTGTCTCTTATCTTGCAACACCGTATTGTGAATCTCTCAATACTACAACAAGCAACAAGTTATCTAATGGAGGCCAATCAATCAAATAACACAATAATCATATATTATTAATCAAGAATGCAAGAAATCACAAACTACTTATTCTTTATATTAGAAATACATAACCAATGGTGTCATCGCCATCCAATACATATAAAAGAGTTAGCCTAGTATATTTGAAAATGATTTACAGTAAAATTATTGAAACATCATCACTAGAATTGAAGAAAAGAAAGAAGAACTTGAAGTCTTCAATTTCTTGGCCTTGAGATTGTAATTCAAGCTTCGCAACTTCAACACTCGTGTTAAATTACCTCTTGGCGGGTGCTAGACTTCTCTTGAATGATATAATATGTTATAAATTGTTCTAGACGACTTTCTCTAAGGGTCCGTTTGATTGCAAGGGTGGAATATGAGTGGAAAGAAAATGAATTTTCGGGAAAATAATTGCCTATAAATTGTTTTGCAAGGAATTATTAATTGAGTGTGTTTGATTAGTATAATTTTCCACCTGGAAAGTTTTTAAATTTTGTATTCGTTTGGCTTTAATTTATATGAAAATTATCCACTAAAGTGATAATTTTTTTTAATTGTTTAGTAATTGTTTTATAGAGAATTGTTAATTAAGTGTATTTGATTTTTATAATTTTCCACCTGGAAAATTTTAAAATTTAGTGTTCGTTTGACTTTGTTTTACATGTAAATTGTCCATTAAAGTAATTTTTTTTTTTTTTTACAATTGGTTATGAAATTTGTTTCAATTGCCAAAAAAAAAAACCAAACCTAGAATCTAATTTCCAATTTCTTGAAAATGAGGAAATGGTGCACATGTAGCCTTAAAATGGAAAAAGAATTCCATGGAAAAAAAATGGTATCAAACATGACAAATGTTCATTTTCCATGGAATTTGAAGCCTATCAAACGCAGCAGTTAAAACGAGGTTAAAAAATCATTCCATGCATATTCAGATCAAAATAAGGAAACAAAAATTTTCCTCTTTGGGACACTTACTATTCTTGTTATATCCTTTTCTTTCGATGTTTGATTCATGCGATTCAAAGTGCATTAAAATTGCAACTAAAAGGGATACAGTTCTTCTAAAAATATCAATTTTTCAATTCAAATGTTTACTATGAGAAATATGGGTTTCAATCAGAGGATCCAAATTTGG